GTGACTGCAGGATTTACTCTTTGGTTCTTTCGGTAAAGTCACGTAGAAAGAAAATAAATGTAATAATAGAATACGACGTTTCGATTGCAACACAAGCAACCATCATCAGGTATAACTAAATTTTAGAGCGAGACAAAACACTGAATCGGAGACTCAGACATACACACAAGCAGAGAGAGACAACACAGAGACACAGAGAGAGACGCACAACATAGACACACAGAGACCCAATGCCTCCGTGTCGTGGCCTTAAATAGATAGGGGGGGGGGACAGAGAGAGAAGTGGGTCTGCTGGAGCAGCTGCTGGAGCAGAGAAATTAGCATGTCAATGAAAGACCCAACAAGACTGGTACATTTTAGAGAGAGTTGTGTGTAAATCCACCCCGAAGCGACCGAGGGAAGAGAGCGAATGGACCTAATGAGAGCCTGGTAAATTTTAGAGAAAGAAATAGGCAGTTTGAGAAGAAAAATGTAACATATTTTTTGGAAATGTAATGCAATGCAACACAGAGTCGGTTAACACACAGTTAATGCATAGCCTGGTTGATTACGATCTCCAAAGATTGCTAAATTTGAAGTTAAGTGTTAAATTTGACAAACAGAGACACACAGATGTGTGGAAATCCACCCCGAAGTGGCCGGGGGAGAGAAACGGCGAATGGACCGATGAGAGCCTGGTAAATTTTAGAGAGAGAAATAGGCCGTTTGAGAAAACAAACTTAGCAATTGTTTGGGAAATGTAATGCAATGCACACGTAACTTCTAATTTTAGCAATATTTGGAGATCGTAATCAACCAGGCTATGCATTAACTGTGTGTTAGCCGACTCTCTGTTGCATTGCATGACATTTCCAAAAAATATGTTACATTTTTCTTCTCAAACTGCCTATTTCTTTCTCTAAAATTTACCAGGCTCTCATATGTCCATTCACTCTCTTCCCTCGGTCGCTTCGGGGTGGATTTCCACACAACTCTCTCTAAAATGTACCAGTCTTGTTGGGTCTTTCATTGACATGCTAATTTCTCTGCTCCAGCAGCTGCTCCAGCAAACCCACCTCTCTCTGCCCCCCACTCTCTCTACTTAAGGCCTCCACACAGAGGCATTGGGTCTCTGTGTGTCTATGTTGTGTGTCTCTCTCTGTGTGCCTCTGTGTTGTCTATCTCTGCTTGTGTGTCTGTCTGTGAGTCTCCGTGTTTGAGTTTTGTCTCGCTCTAAAATGTACTTCTACCTGATGACAGTTGCTTGTGTTGCAATCGAAACGTCGTATTCTATTATTTAATTTATTTTCTTTCTACGTGACTTTACTGAAAGAACCAAAGAGCAAGTGAGAGCAATAAGAGTGGGCCCGTCTATTTTAATGCTATCAAAGTCCCCAGGAAACCTTCGCTTGGCAGGAGGTCACTCATTTCACCTTACTCCCACCACAGTCTGACTGCTCCCTTTAAAAGTTGTTTTTTTTAATCCGGGCTCAAGACCTTCCCTTTGTTTTGTTTGCCCATGACTGACTGCCTGGGTCATTGAAATAAATACGCCTAATGTTTCAGTGCAGCGTATCGAGATATGATCGCATTTAGATCCTATGTAAACTTACATTGTCTTGTTTTAAGAGAGATCTGAGCCAAATAAAGTAATACATTAAACAAGCGCTAAAAGGTTAAAAACAAGAGGGTATTGTACCTGCATAATAAGATATCATTAAGTTGTAATACCGATTCAACATTAACATTTACATAGAATGTAATATCGCAGCAAATGTATTTTAAAACAAGTAAAAAAAATCAGCAATAAGGTACTGAACCTATGATTAAATCTTCCACTATGTCTGATCTCGTCAGATATCTGAAGCTAAGCAGGTTTGAGCCTGGATACGGTCTGGATAAGGCCTGGATGGGGTAACTGCCATGCAGCCGACCTGTCATAGGTGGCTGCGGGGCTTGGCTATGTAGTGGTCAGCAGAGGGCAGAACCGATACATCGTACATTGTACCGTACTTATATGTTGCCAAGTTCATGCCCCATGCCTTCATCAACCCGGACTGGCGAGCGTTGTGAGGTATGGTCAAATAACCTTCGTCACGACCTTTTTCATGCTTGGATTGATAAAACCGCTGTGCTCGTTACTCTGGATAAAGTGTGGTTCAAAAGCACACGCATTAATTTATCTTGACAAATCAACAAGTACATTTTCACACATACAATGCCAGAAGGGATCGTTTAAAAATGTTAAAGAGATGCAATATTATTTCATATCAAGGAATTACTGATTCCACATGGCAACGGCTTAGGGAGGCCTTCATCTAGCAGTGGATTGATCATGGCTGATCGATCCATTTAACGATGCACATTAAGGTAGATAGAACAGAAACATGCACATGCTTACAAATTCACCACTTCAGCAAATAGGAAAATACTAAATTCGCACATTTATGTTTTAGAGTTTCATTTGTTGGCTATAATAGTATCATTAAAATAAGCCGTTGTATGCTTTCGGTATTTGTTTGTTGGCTGATAATTCTGCATGTTAATTTTAAGAATAATTCAAGAATTTCATTAAATTAGGTATTCTTAAAAAAAAATCCTATTTATACATGCAAGCCGCAATGATAGTAATATCATTACTTACTAAAGGTCTCATGTTCCATTCGAATTGAATAGAAATGCAAATGTTGGCTGAATTCTGCATGTTAATTTTAAGAATAATTTATGGTGTGTGTGTGTGTGCCGTTCAGTGTAAAATAACCTCCAATTTATCTTTTAAGCATGTAACTTCTTAATACAATCAATCCCTCGCCAATTAATTGTATGAACAATGAACATAAGCAGCAGCTGTACACTTCCCCATACTGTCAGCTTTATATCTGTTCCATTAATTCCCAAATTAATGTGCTCCTAAATGACACGATTGGTTGGCCAGCGAAACTGTTTGCATATCTCCATTATCTTTCACTCCTTATATTTCTAAATACAGCCGTTTGTGTGCGTATTTCCAGAGAAAACACTAGCTCGAAATTGTTTGTGTCTTGGCCCGTATTTGCGAAGTAACGCGAACCAATTCTATAACATCGTCGGTGTGCTGATACGTGATCTTCAAGCGCCCAAAGAATGGCGCATCTGCCCATTTGTTGGTTTTTAAAGTAACCCGATTCCTTTTATTTTCACAATCGGGCGGCCCTGGTGTGTGCCGCTGACTTATTAATGTCCTCTCGCGGCACTGTTTAATTCATGCCCGCTGTGGTTTTTTCCACGTGGTCCCCACGTGTCCCCCAAGCCCCTTTCACCCAGGAGCTGTCGGCAAAGTCGCGGGGCTTAGCGCCGTAAGCTCCTCATTTTTTCACGGTGGCGTCCCCGAACCCCACTGCGGGGGAGGTGTGGAGGGGATACGTGGGCTCAACTGCTGGTGTTTGTTAGCAATCAATCTCATTGTTGGTGAACAGGATGAGTCGACATGACATGTGTATCTATATCATCTGCACGGCGGTTAGCGTACATCGTGGTGGTTTGTTGGCTCACTGTGCCACGAAAGCGGCATCCCGAGTTCGATTACTCCTCACGGCTAGCGTTAGTCTTTATTATTTGATCCATTTCAGGGCCTCCCCTATAGGCTGACTCAGCCATCAATTAGTACCTGGTGCATTGTGTAAAAAACATAAGCATTGAAGAGACAAAGGTAGTCGAGCGTGGTTCTGGCCCACCACACCATCTCCTTGTGTGTCGTGCTGGCCTTCATAGGTGCAGTCAAATACTATTGCCTCTTCAGTGTTCATGTGCGAGGCAATGCGGTCGCTTCTGTGCTGCCCAAATCAGTCTGCTGAGCCACATGAAGATAGTGTACATGGATGTGATAACTAACCTGCTCCCAGGCACTCATCGTCGATTTGGCACAGCAGCCAAAACGTATCTGTAAATAACGCGTATTGAAACTCCAACAAAGTCACTTGCAAGTTGTTGTGCAGAACGTTGATTCGCAATAACTTTGGTAAACTCATCCAGGATATTTTTTGCTGCAAATAGGGGGGCAGTCGAAGAAAATTCGCTGCCAGAGCTGGTGTAGCGCATTTCAGAAGCTTCTGCAGCAACTGAACAAGCTCTCAACACACGTGAAGCGACAAAGTGTCAGTAGCATGAGCGGGGCAGCTAATGTTAATGGTGCTGGTGGTGGAAACCCACCACCAGCGCTGTCGTTACCCTCCACGAGTACCATCACTTACATTAACATTAGCTGCCCAGCCCATGCTGCTGACACTTGGGCTACGCCCATTTCAAACCTTTATAAACAGTTTTCCTTTTAGAATTTAGAGGCTAACCCCCCTTTTCCTGATGACGACCGCTCGTGTTGCTATCGAAACGTCGTAGTTTTTGTTATATTCTTTGAACCTATCTACGTGACTTTACCGAAAGACCCAAAGAATATGATTTCCGGCAATCATCAAAGCTTTAAGTCAAGATATATAAGCTGGTAAACCGACACTGACAGAATACTTGAACACGAGAAAACAAAGGGTCTTGTTTTCCAAAACAGCGTGAAAATTGATAAAGAGAGAGAGAGGTGTTGGCAGTGAGCAGGAATCGAGGTCGGGTCGCCGGGTTTTTAGTGCACAGCGCTTACCGCTGCAATACAGCTCGGACATTGTCAGTTACACAATAATTTCTTACATAAATGCAGGGCGATAATTATGGTCATTATAGTCATGCAGTTAATTTCTGTCCAGAAAAATTTTGCGAGTTAGTAATTTAATGAGGAATTGCTATTTATTTGAAACTTTAATTATTGTATTTTGCTTATTGTTTCATAAATATCGGGAAATTATACGTGAAAAAAATCAAACAAGCAATGACAATCATGATATAACAATATTTTGTGAAATGGACGAATTTGAATATTAAGCACCTAATTTTCCCGCTGACAATCCCACTCATCCTCTCTCTTGATTCTATCCCGCCTCCGACAATGTCATTTCCCCCCACCACCACGACCCCCCACTGACAACCACTTGCAACAGGAGTGCCGTTTTGGTGCCTGCTGGACATCGTCCCAATCAAGAACGAGAAGCGAGAGGTGGTGCTGTACCTGGCCTCCTTCAAGGACATCTCCGAGAGCAAGCGTGGCTCCGTGCAGGATGGAGCCCCCAAGGAACCTGGTAATGAGCTGCCGGCCCCGCGAGCAAGTGAGCAATTGGCGTCCTCGGGCCTCCCAGGCATCCCAATATCAATCGTAAACCAAAGCAAATCGAGCGTCACCGCTGTTTTACTCCATCTCGTTCGATTAATTACGTTTGGAATCAAGAACGGTGCACCTGTAAAGCGTTCGTCCACATTTCCATGATTGCTGGGAAGTTAGCTGGCCTGGTTGGAGAACCGAGCAATTTGGCATGGCCTGGTTATTTTTTTTACAAAGTAGCATTACCCCAGACCAAAGCCAGCAACGATTGGATTCGGGTGGCTCTCTTTTTCCTCAGGGAGCTGCATTATTTTTTTTATCTGAGCCACCCTCGAAACCGTTGCGATGTCACAGGATCCACACGCAGAGAATAGCCACCTCTTCAGCACCGTGTTTGTTATATAAAAAAAAAAATCCAAGCACACCTTGGGTCCACTCTCCGATTGTCATGGAAACGCAGCATTCGCAACCAAGAGCCCACTTCATATTCTAACTCATGTGCTTGAGCCCAGGATCAGCCGTAGTACACATTAGCATGGACACGGTGCATTAGCTCAACGAGCCGCGGAGTTCCCCCAAGCTTAACCTGGGGCTCATGAAAGTGCCAGCTCAGTGGCCCGATACGGCACATTAGCTTACCGAGCTGCCCAGTAACCCACTGAGCACACAGGGATGCGCAGCGACTATGCTCGAGTATCTGTGCATGTGTGTAATAATGAGTATATATGTATGTACACTCCCACGCACAGAGAGCCACATACATTACTCACACAGCCCTCCCTCCCTCCCTCTGAGCACCATGGAGGCAGGGTTGGTCATGTGATGGCACCCGTCCAGGCTCTATGCGTTTGAAGCCATTGCGGCGCAGACGTAGACATGTGTACGCACGCAGCCAGCATACATCATCAACAACATCCGTCATGCGGTATGTGATGATGGGTTGTTTCATAAGGGGTTCAGAACAGTGTTTCCGCCGAGGGCTCCAATGCGTCCACCACTGCTGTAGGCACGTACACCGTGTGGTGAGTTCTTATGGAGACGGAGTCGTAGAGGCAACACGGTTTATTGTTAACTAACAGATAACTCCCTTAACATCCCCTATCTAGGGAGGTACAGCCTCCGGGCTATCGTGACTCACACTCGCCAACTCAACTCTTAGCCCTCCGGCTATCAGTGCCCTAGGGGAGGCTATCTGACCCGACCCAGCCAAGGTACGGGTCTCGACCACTGGTCCCAGCTCGACCCGGCCCTTAGAAGGACGTCGGGCTCGAGGTCCCCCAGGGTCCTGACTAGGAAGGCTATCCTGACCCGACCCAGCCAAGGTACGGGTCCGACCACTGGTTCAAGCTCGACCCGGCCCTTACAAGGGCAGCGGGCTCGAGGTCCCAGGGTCCTAATCTAGCTGAGCTTCAGTCTTCGGTCTTCGTAGCACTGCCTCGAGCTGTGCTTGGGGTGCCCCTTTTATACACCTCCAGGGGACCCTCCGTCCCTGGTACCGCCCCCTTTCTGGAACCTTCCAGAGGATCCTGGAAGGGCCCCCTCCCAGCCCCCCACCTGGGGTAGGGGAGGGGAACCCAGCCTTTCTTGGGTCCGGCTCCCTCTCTATCCCCTTGTTCAGGCTAGCACACCCTACCGACCTCTGGCTGAAATTGCAGGTAACTGGATACCGGCGGTGTGTGCATCCGCGATTCCGACGCTACACATGTACAGCCCTTGTATTGATCCACTGCTGGTCGAGAGCCTCCCCAAGCATTCTTCAGTCAGTGGGGGGGTGGGTTGGTGAAGGTGGAGAGCATAAAAACGGGAGCACAGCAATACAGTACAATGCTGTAGTGGATTTTGCTGCGATACCTTCTATTGCACACAATGTAGCCCTGCAGCAGCCACCTCAAGCCTGATTAGCTTCCAAGATCTGATGATATCCTCGGATTACTTTGGGCCATAGGCTTAATGTGGCAGTGTTTAAAATACGTTGCAGATTTTTGCTTTGCATTTACGGTAGGCATAATTAGGTATTAAGTACTAAAATATGAATAGTTTTCAACTCTTTGTCAATACACTGCTGTAGGAATGGCCTTCCCAACCCGTGTCGATAATGTGGTTCGTGTGACCATACTTATGGCATTTGATTTTAGCCATGGCCAGGAATCGAACTTCAGTGTGGGGGTTCATAGCACGGTGCAACAACCAGTGTACCTGCTCCACACTCTTAACATGTCTCCGTGAGTCAACAGAGAATTGTGCTTGTGTGTGTCCTGCACAGTTGATCCTTATGGCGGTACCCGGGGTACCAAATAATACAGGGGTGTACTTAACTCCGCGACTTGGGGTACCAATCAATCCGAAATCAGTGCTACTCCCCGATGTCCAAACGCCAAACAGCATAAAAAAATCCGTTATCGAAAAATTCTACTTTGAATAGTGCATCGTGTACAGCTCGTCGAGATGAGTCGAGTGCCGCATCGCCGACCATCAACAAACTAAAAACGACTGCATCACGGACATTATGCGAGGCCGGGGTATTATGGTACCCTGGGGTACCGCCATAAGGTTCAGTTACTGAGCCACCATCGTTGGTGCACATACACTGACCGTGTATGCTCATGAATATTTTATCGGAGTGGAAAATGTTGTGTTCAACACTTGTAAATCGTCCATAATAGAAGTTTACGCGATCGAACCCAAAAAAAACCTCTTATGGATGATATTGGTCGCGAAAGCCTACGTGTTAAACTGACTTGTAAATCGGATACAACAAACAAAAACAGTGATTTATTGTGAGATCAATAATTGATCATAATGCATGGCTGCAATGCTATGTAATACTTGCGTGACACTGCACAGTCACAAATTATGAAGAATCAATGTTAAGCCTCTTTTATTCGTATATAATGCACACGAATTGAAAAATATTGATTCGTACGTGTTGCGGAGAATGGGCCATGCCGACCCTGCAGCCACTAGGGCTGCTGCTACATTTTGACCCAATGTATTCTTTAATTGATTTGTGGCCCTGAATTGTGACTATTCAACTTCAACCAGAAGGCAAATACGATCCATTATTTGCCTCATCGCAACAATTCCTTGAACTGCAAATAATTTTTCATCCCGTAGAATGCAAATTGTTTCTCCTAGAATTATTGCACCAGCAGGAACATGCAGACATACTCGAAGAACAACAACATTGCCAGCCAGGAGAAAGAGGGGCAAATAAATACTTAATGCGGACACATTTGTTGCTGGTTTTAGCTGGCTGATTTTTGGACACTCATCCTGAATAGAGAAAACCATAGCAGAGCCGTTGCTTAACCAGTGGCTGTTCATGGCTCCCGGTTGAGGAGGCAACAACGTTTGCCCCTGGTTTTCCAGTCTGAGGCGAAAACACGTTGATAATTTGAATGTCAGAGGCAACGTGGTGATGATGCTGGGTCTCTGTGTGAGTCTGTGGTTCTCTGTGGGAGTCTGTGGGTCTCTGTGGGAGTCTGTGGGTCTCTGTGGGAGTCTGTGGGTCTCTGTGGGAGTCTGGGGGTCTCTGTGGGAGTCTGGGGGTCTCTGTGGGAGTCTGGGGGTCTCTGTGGGAGTCTGGGGGTCTCTGTGTGAGTCTGTGGGTCTCTGTGTGAGTCTGTGGGTCTTTGTTTCAGAGCACCTATTATGAAGACGCTTCCAGTGCATGAGTTATCACCCGAGATTGGGAAAACTCAATGGGCACTTTTGTTGCCTTCTCAACCTGGAACCACAATCTTCTGCTTTCGCGTAAAGTCAGGACACTTTATAGAGGTGGCCTACGATTGTTGGACACGGTCTTTGTCCAAACCACGATGTGCCACACATTCTTGTCTAAATCGACTTGGATCATGTCGGAGAAGATGACTGTTATCCCAAGTGCTGCGATTGGCCGCTTAAATTCCTCATGCTTAAACACTTCGACTTGTTCCATTATTCATATACACAGTCTGCCACGCTCTGTAAGATTTCAGAATCGGGGTCAGCTGTGCTTTTGTGACTTAATTAAGTCTTTTTTTACATCTGCCCTTTGATGTTAATTTTTTACATCTCCCCTTTTATTTTTATAAGTAGATCTATTCATAAACAGAGCAGAACATAACTTTTCTCTACAGCGTTTCGACATGCTACATACATATACAATGCGTTGGAGGAAATGTGAATACATTTCCTCCAACGCATTGTATATGTATGTAGCATACTTAATTATATCTTCATAAACAGATCTATTAAATGCCTCATGCTTAAACACTTCGACTTGTTCCATTATTCATATACACAGTCTGCCACGCTCTGTAAGATTTCAGAATCGGGGTCAGCTGTGCTTTTGTGACTTAATTAAGTTTTTTTTACACCTGCCCTTTTATGTTTATTTTTTACATCTCCCCTTTTATTTTTATAAGTAGATCTATTCATAAACAGAGCAGAACATAACTTTTCTCTACAGCGTTTCGACATGCTACATACATATACAATGCGTTGGAGGAAATGTGAATACATTTCCTCCAACGCATTGTATATGTATGTAGCATACTTAATTATATCTTCATAAACAGATCTATTAAATGCCTCATGCTTAAACACTTCGACTTGTTCCATTATTCATATACACAGTCTGCCACGCTCTAAGTTTTCAGAATCGGGGTCCAGCTGTGCATTTGTGACTTATTTAAGTTTTTTTTTACATCTGCCCTTTTATGTTTATAGATAGATCTATTCATAAACGCTGTAGAGAAAACGTATGTTCTGCTCTGTTTATGAATAGATATAATTAAGCACTTGTCTTAAGTACATTTAGTAATAATTTACACTTGGAGGCAACTGTTTGTCTTGTGAAGAAACATACTAGAAATTGATTACGCGTTTCAAAGTACATATAATTAAGGGCTAATGTTAAATGTTTTTTACTTGTGGTCAGTTTAAATTTTGAAGCTTATAATTTTTGGCTCGAAATTATGTGAACACGACCGCAATGTGCAGAGTTCACGAGATTGGAAACAAAAAGGCAGAGAAGGGATTTTTAAAATGCAACCAGCTATCCAAAGTCGTGCGAGGAAAATGGATCATTACACATACACTCAGTTTCTCCACGTAAAAAATAAACAATACTGTATAGATATTTATATATAGATATATATAATCACTATCATATATAGACTAAAATATATGGGAAAACATAGTTGAAAAATATTTATTTCATTAATTACCCAGAGTCTTCGACTGCAGCTCATAACTTTGTTGGAATGGATTTGAGTTTATAATATCCAACAATTGCATTTCATTCCTAAGTTTACAGTGCTTTTTATCTATTGCTGGAAGAAGGCCTCCCCATACCTTGTCAGTTATTGGTGGGTTGTTTATCCATACTTCACCACGCTGGTAAGTGTGGGTTGGTGAAGAGGGGGTCCACAACTCAATACTCAAATTAGCCATGGTCAAAAATCTAACTCGGTTCGCTGGGTTCACAGCATAGTGCTCTATCCAATGCACCACAATTCCACCCCATTTCACTGAAGAATCTTCTGGAAGTGAGGCCTGAATATTTTCACCACCTTCGTTTTATGTTTTGTTTTTATAAATTTTGTCTTGTGGCGTCATATCGTTGAGACGAAGGAACGTTTCTCGAAACCCTCACAGAGTGGTGCATCATCACCCCGCGTGTTAGAGAACGTCTTGCAGAAGGAGACGTCCCAAAACGACTTGTGAGATCTCTTCGGCTTGTTTTTTTTTGGCTGCAGAGGGGAGGCAGCAACAGAAGGGCGAAACGGGATCCAGCTTCCGCGTGAACCGCCGGCGGAGCCGCGCCGTTCTCTACCACCTGTCGGGGCACCTGCAGCGGCACGACAACCACAAAATCAAGATCAAGAACGTGAGTGGCACTCTGCACAGACCTTGCACACACCCTGAACACACCCTGCACACACCCTGCTCGCACCCTGCACACACCCTGCACACACCCTGCACAGACCCTGCTCGCACCCTGAACACACCCTGCACACACCCTGCACAGACCCTGCACACACCCTGCTCGCACCCTGCACACACCCCGCACAGACCCTGCACACACCTACGTGGCCGCACACGCACCCAGAGCAATAGTCCACTGCAGCGGCTCGGGGCTTAGTGTGCGTCAAATTAAACGCCGTGCCAGGGAATGCAGGCCAGGACCGCGATTGAAAGCGATACTTAAAATTGGCTGTGCGGGGCTTCCGCGATGAGAAAATAATGACAAATAGTAATAATTTGTTTAACAAAATTATGCCCGTGGAATTGACACTTATTTGCAAAATAAACATGCAATTAAATTGCTGAGAACATTTACAAGGCTGCTTGGAAGATTGTTATTTTTGTCACCAAATGTGTCTTGAAGAACATTTACTTATATAACACCAGATTGTGTGTTGTTTTTATACTTCTCAGAATTTGTGAGTCACCACATTCTCAAATGCGATTTCCAATTATCTCAGAATATCTTGCTCTCTCTCTCCTTCTTTTGTTGGAAGAAGAGACATTTCGCAAAACAGCTTTCTATATATGTGTGTATAAAAAGTAGTAGATTAAGCACATTGCCCAATTATTAGACCTTTCATCAGCACACGGCGCGTGTGCTTTGTACCAAATATTACATTTTGTTTTAGCTCAGAGGCAAGCCTCATGTTTTTACACATTGACTATAAGCAAATTCAACTACTGGAGTTGTATTTCTATTCACACCGCAGTAATACATTTGTGTAGCTATATCATTCTTGAACATAACAAATAACCAGCAATTTGTGTCTATCCCCTTAAATTTGCGAATGAAATGTGGTATTTTTGTCTAAAATATTAACACACATTTTTAAGCGTTGTATTGAACTTCTGCGATGTGGTTATAAGACAATGAGCGAAAAAAAAGACGAGTTTGTATGCCCACGTGCATACAAGTGCATTTTGCAAACATTGCATAATAGACTCCAACAAAATCGCAAGAGCATCATCTCCCTACGATGCACAGCGATGGTGCACGGTTTATTGCCAATCGATCATCTTTCCCCCGTAGTTTTGTTTTGACACTCAACATCTCTTGGTGAAAGTCAATTAAATTAATTAGGTTTTTTAGGACCATGGTTTATTTTAATGTCGTGATTTCACAGATATCCCAGGCTAGCAAGCGAGAGTCTGGCCACCAATCGTGATGCATTGGCGCTGCAGTGGCTGCATGGTCAAAAGCAAGCGTGATGTGCATGAACTGCCATCTCGTCCCCTCGTTCTATTGTATTGCAATTTTATTTTAAATCAGTGTGTGTCAATGTATGGAAGATAGCTTCTGTCTTGCATTATCCAGACATGAATGCTCACGAAGAATAGAATCCCCTGCAATAATGCCCCGTTTTTATTTTGGTGTAGCCCATGTCTCCTGGCATATTTAAATGTGCGATCAGCTATAGTCGCTGGCTTTCATAACGTCCAATCACAGCTCATGTTATTTCTGTAATCGTATTAAAAGTGATTGAGGAGATGGTCTGACTTAGAAAGATGAGCTATGTTCGTTCAACAGGCCCACTGTTGATTTAATCAACAGCAGAGCACACTTCCACTGATGTACATGAACCTAACAAATATTAATATCCAAACTACGGTTGAACAGGAATGCATCATCGTCAGTCCTCTGTTGGATAAAGGCATGCCTTTGGAGTTTAGGTCACGCATTGACCATGCTCAATGTGGGTTGGTGAAGAACTTGTTCTAATATGACTCGCCGTTGATATTAACTATGGCCGGGAATCAAACTCCGCTTGCTGGGTTTTGAGCACAGTGCACCGATTACCGTGCCATTGCTCTCACGCAAAAAGTATTATAAAAATACTACGTATTTGGTGACACCACAACGCACTGGGAGAACGCTTAACTTGCAATTTTGAAGGCTGTGGAAAGTTACGATTTCAAATCCACGTCAACCCATCCTTCTTTTGGATAAAATATGAACAATTTTGTGGGAAATCAACAGCGTATGTCCAATGTAGAGACCAGGCTCCCTTCAAAGGAATGTGGAATTTACCCCACTTGTTTAACACTACCAAAGTAAAATAGCACTTCCCAACTCTTTTGAGCAGGAAGAAAACGTGACCTTGAGAGTATTTTGCAGTAGACAGCAGATTTTTGCAAACTAAAATTTCGACAGCCTATGGTCGCTTTATTCTCGCTCCTGCCTAAAAAGAAAAAGCTGGACTCCATTTTATGAAGGATCTGTAGGCATATATGCCTACGAAATAAATTTATTTTGTGGGGGGGGGAGGAGGGATGGATAAAAAAAATTCGGGGGGTCGACAACTTTTGGAAACTTTTTGGTTCAACTTTTTACCCCCATATCTGGCCCACTTTCTATAATGTTTTGATTCTGAAAGGCTCTTATAATTTAGTTGTTGGACAAACGGACGGACAAATGGACAAACAGAACACTGGGCTTTTATAATAGATGATCTCCGATTTTTTTTATTGTTCGCAACTTCTAGGTAGAAAATTTCTTCCACTGTTTGTTTTTCAAGTACATTTTTACTTTGCTTGAAGTCACCTACTCTACTGTATTCTTGCATGAGTGGCAAGAACACTGTTAGAACACTTTTTCTGAGGCTCTAATTCACAGGGTTGTGATTTAGTGGGAGGGATAGGAGGTGGAGGGTAGAGGAGGGCTCATCTCACAGTGGGTAAACAAGTGTTCATACTTCAACCGCTTCAAATTTATTGCATTTTCAAATTATCAGAGTTGTGAAAATATTTCTGTCAACTGTACAGTCGAAGTTCAAGCAGTCACCTCCTGTTTTGTAACCCTGAGCCAGTGGTGGAAATTCCACATTTTTATGATGGGGAGGGGGGGGCACGTATTTCCATATAACAGCCACTGTTTATTTCTATGAAAATAAAACTGGTTTTATTAGCTCTGGTGAAAGGATGGGCCAGGTCAATTCCAGACCGGAATTTGAACGTGCCGTCACCATCCATTTGTGAGACGCAAACTCCACTCTGTCCCACTCAGCCCCACTCAGCCCATTCCAGCTCTTGCAATACAAATATTCTCTTTTGTCTGCCTCTGGCTGGAAGAAGGATAATTTCCTGAATTATTAGCTAATTCTTTGTTTTTTTGTTATAAGGCCGTGGTAATGATGAGAGTACTGTGATGACATCATGGTGTACTTGTACAACACATTTTATATATAGCAACAAAAAAGAAAAAATGCACTTTCAAAATATAGATTTTTGCATGTATTCGTATAAAAATAGTTCTGTGGGTTTGTACTGCTTAACTTTGGGACACTGGTTATTTAAAAAATATTTTAAACTAAATGTACTTCGAAATATGCAAAAATATGCAAGCATTTTCAGTATAAACGTCTCAACCTGGAGGACGGTGTGTGGTTAAGGTTTCCACTTATGAGGTGCAAGCAACAAAACGAGGACATGTCATGGGAAAAAGAACATCTCATAATACCGGAAGAGGGGCGACCTCCGCATAAAAGCACTGCTTTGGGTGGTGTAGTATTATGCTACTGACAAGAACAACGAGTTTTAATGTCCAAGGAACATTTTTAGTTACAGATTTCCCAGGACAGCTACCGCCTTTTTAAAAAGAGAATGGTCCTGAGAAACCAGGACACTGATGACACAATTCATTACATAAAGTTTACAAGATTGCATGCAATGTGTGCTTGCATTACGCTTGTTCTTCTGTAAGTAGGGGGTGCTGGGATTGATCGTGGCTGGATAAAGGCATGCTGTGCCCCGGTGCATGCAAGTATCTCCACTTGCATGGCTTCTCGGCTGCTGTGATGTCCCAACCACAAACACTTTATAATCCCCGGTGGAAATATGTGTATGCAATGATGCTGAATTTAAATTGTTGATAGCATGCGTGTTACAGTGACAGTAATTTCCTGCTCAAATGAGCATTGAATTGGTGCTAATCTTCTGTTTATATCCCTGAGCCAGTGGTAGAAATTTCCAAATCCTATGGCAGGGGTGCATTTATCCATAGGACAAGTATTGACCTCCTCACAAAGTGGTACTCATTGTATCGAACCAACATAGATGATAGGCTCAGTCAACCCCCAATCAGGATTTGACCTCACGACCTTTCGTTTACGAGCCGCTCGCTCGACCGCTTAGGCACCCTTAGATGGTACACGTGTAGGTTGCAAGAACCGTTCAACTCGCAATTTCTGTGCACTTTCATTTTAACACATGACTGATGCTAACAGTTATTGTAATAATAAGTTAAACCCTTTTGTTATTCCACTGCTGGATGAAGGCCTACCAACACAGTGTCAAGTACGGGTTAGTGAAGGTGTGGCTCAGCACCAGTTTAAATATCAGTCGCTACTGTTGGTCGTGGCCAGTAATCGAACTTAAGGCATCGGATGCATCACACAAAAAACTACTCTGCCACTACTCCACCCATTTTTTATGTAATACTGAATGTTGTATTATTATTGATATAAACGAAACAAAAGTAAATAAAACATGTAAGTCAGAATAAGCCAAAGCACGTAGCCAAATGGAAGACTTTAAAACATCTCCAAGAAACGCTCCCTTATTATAGAGGGTACAATGAAGGGTGTTATGACCCAATCACTCAGCTGAAAGGAGCCTAGTTAGTGCATGTATGGATGATCACCATGCATAACTGGTTTCTATGGGCTGCGGTCCTACATTGTGGGCAGTGCAACAAAATCCATTGTATTGCACTTCTACGCTCGTACATCCATACATATGTAATGACATAGTGACATCTACTGGTTGGAAAAGGGAAGCACGGGTACAGGCACCACTATAAACATCATCCAATCCCAAAGGGAGCAGTATCTGGGCCAAAGGTAAAGGGCGGGGCTGACTGAGATACTCCGGGAACTGGCTAGAAGGTTCCACAAGAGGGCATGGCCGGAGGCGGAGCCTAGCCGTGCCTGCGGAAATATAAACGGAGGCAGGAGGACTCGTGGTCGGTGTGGGGAGCCTTGGGTCCAGGCTACGTCGCTGCTCACCATCATCTCTCTTCGTCGTTTGGCCATGTGGCCGATCTCCTGCGAAGTCCCACCACCCTCGCCGGCACGCCATCAACCAATAGCGAGGCTGGGAGTGGGCGGACAGAACCACGCTGTGGGATCGACCACATGTAGCCTGTAGGGATGCTAATATCTACTGTACGTGTGTACTCGGAGAAGGAAGAGGATAAGGTTGGCCTGTGGTGTGCCCGAATGTGAATATAGAAGAGGGTACCCTCTACACGACGTGTTGCGGAAGTCGCTCATTACATGTAGATTATTCACAAATCCACACTGACTCAGCATGTCGAAATACGGTCAAATAGCACCCGCGACCTGCATGGCCTGGGAAGGCCCTCATCCAGCAGTGGATTTCCAAAAAGGGCAGTACGTGTATACGTGTGTACACATGCAGATGCTCACCAAATGGTTAATTCTAACCCGCTGCATGGCTGTGTGTGTTGCATGCTCGCCTATCTTAATCTGCTTGCATTTCCCTTTCCTGCCCTCCCCCACCTACATTGCCCCTTCAATGCTCCCAATCCTTCATTCGCTCCCTCCCTGCTGCCCTCGCTTCCCCCCGCAACCCTGTCCCCCAACCCCCAAGCATCTTGCACGGCATTGGCATGATGCTCCCAGAAAGAGGCTGCAGGGCAAGGCCAGAGGGCCCGCACGTGCTGGGCCGCCTGTTCACAGCCCTTCGTAAGTACTAACCATGGATGTGCTAAACCCCCCTGACCACTGGCTGCCATGTCGCCGCCCCCCACCACTGCGCCAGCTTTCTGCGCCAGCTTTCCACGAATGCTATAAATACTCTTAGCTAACACTTGTCCGTTGAATGCATTCCGTTCGCTAGGCGCGTAATTGCGCTCATGAAACACCCGTCGAGTCGTGCACGTGAAAAGACCTTTCATTCAATAACGATTCGTGGGAAAATTTAAGGGTGAAATGTGCTAATGTTATACACACCTAAACTAACGTAATAACCTCAGTTCAATGGAATCAACAACTCTTACAAATAGAAGCAAACGCAAATGAGAAACAATACTCGCACGGCACGCACGGATGGTGCAGGCATTGAGTGGTGTGGGTGTGAGAATAGGACATTTTACTGTTTTTGAAAAAGTTAATATGGGAGGAATATGCCTGTTTGTTTATGCTAAGACAGCAGCAGACTAATAAATATACAATTGAGAGAGAAAAAAGAAGACGCAAAAGAATTAATTATTTAGGTGAATCATTGAAATCTTGACACTGCTACTGTGTCCACCACGTGTGATCACGATCTTCCTCCCCATTGTCACTTTGCGTTTTGCCTCCTCTTGTTTTGTATCCCACACTTTTCTTATTGTCCCTGTTAATGTATTATTGGCGTCAGCCATCAGGGAGGGAAAATGAGGACCATTTCTAAAAATATGAAATGCATAAAAACGAGGACAAATAGTTAACGACAAGTTGGCTGCGTTTGCACATGTTTGCAGGATCTATATAATTCATGTTTGTCAGTAAATGCGGGGACTATATTTTATGGTACATTTAAAAAGCTACAGCGTAGACCATTTTAGGGAAGTTTGTAGCATGCTTAACGTAACAATAACTGGCATCTAAAGCAGAGTTTAATATTTTAAGACTGCCACCACCCCCTTGAGATTACACAGTAACGATGCCTTTTTAATGCAGTGTCATGGCTAAATGAAACTGCCCAGGGTGCAGGCACATCCTAGGTGCGACAAAACGATGTTGAGGTTGGGGCATCAGGTAGACTTTTACGTAACCCAGTGGATCGGTAAGATGGCATTATGGCTGTTAGGAGGCGCGTAACAGCACGTCAACCCACTGATTCATAAAAAGAATCCTACGCTCACGACGCATACATCGAATGCTGTATGTGGAAATGATATATTCATGTGTAATTTAGGCAAACGAACAAGCAGTACAAATGAGACCAATAACACACATCGCACAACACAAACAAGACCAAAATTTATTTTAAAAATCCATTATTGTAACAAAATCACAACTCCATGTGTAAAAAAAGGAATCGAATCAGCTGGGCGGTTGGATTGAGTGAATCGCTGCACGACTGGGCAACTGTGCTCTGGCTGCCGAATCTCAGCTCTCGCCTCTGCCAAAAAACAAGCACGGCGCAGGGACAGGTGCCGCACTCACTTTGGCCCGCACCTAAAGACTTTGCCGTCGACATTGTCCGATCGCCGACGGCCCCCGCGCTCTCCTTTCCCAGAACGTGTTTGGTGAGAAGGCAGCGCTGCCCGAGTACAAGGTTGCGGCGGCGCAGCGCTCACGCTTCATCCTGCTGCACTACGGCACATTCAAGGCCGGCTGGGACTGGCTCATCCTTCTTGCCACCTTCTACGTGGCCGTCACGGTGCCCTACAACGTGTGCTTTGCCGGCTCGGACGAGCAGCCCGCCACGTCGCGCAGCACCACCGTCAGCGACATCGCTGGCGAGATCCTCTTCATCATCGGTCAGTGACCCAAGAGATGTCCCGAACTGAGACGGGCAACATAAATCCAAAAGATGTCGCGCAGGAGATATATAGTGGATTGTGCAGATATCATCACACACATGAGACACCTAACCTGAAAGGTGATGCCAGTCGATGATATTCATATCAAGGGAACTGTTGGTCTACCTATATGGTTTTTGTTATTCACGAATGTGTTGAATTTTGTATGGGGATTTCAGTGGTATTCGAGTTGTAGAGTGCTTCCATACACTCCAGCCCAAATACTCGAAAAGGATAAATTCAAACATTGTAAGCCAGTAAAAATGCTGCCATGACATTTTTTTTGCGGATGTCACTGTGGTGCCGGACCTAGACAAACACGGCGTGCAATGTTCTCACATTACGGACATCACGTATGTAGCGACATCGTGAATGTCACTGTGTAATGCCGGCTTTCGCGAGGCACGGCGTGCGATGCATTGTCATTGCGGAGACCCCGTAGGTGGGTGTAGTACCAGCCCTAGAGGGGGCTCGGTGAATGCTGGGATAGGGCAGTGGCACCACGCGTGGCGTGCAGTGCCGACTCCTACAGGAGGGAGTGTGAGAGTGTCAGCCATGGGATGAGGTTACCCCTGGCCATGACACTCTGGTTGACCCTGGAAGGCACGTGACAAGTAAGATCTAATTCTAGATTTGAAGTTTTCGTGACTGCAAGGGTCCATACTCTTTGTTTTTTGGTAAAGTCACGTAGGTAAAAAAAAATTAAATCACGACGTTTCGGAGGCAACACAAGCTTCCATCTTCAGGTGGAGCCGTCACAGCAAAATTACTGTACAAGATCCAGGTCCGATTCAATACAGTACACAAAATCCGTGATCTGATCCCATCCGTAAAGTATGTTATTCCTGACTTACAATTGAGTTGTACCTGCGGTGACTGCTATATTGGGGAGACAAAACGACATATTTCTGACCGAATTCGCGAGCACAAATCAGATTTGAAGCACGGTAGAACGAATTCTTCGGCCGTAGCTGATCATTGTTTCAACACAGCGGGTTCTCATGATATTATTTTCTCCGACACCAAAGTACTCTGCAAACCTCCCGGATACTACCAAAGATGTTTCCATGAAGCCATCCAGATATACAAACATAGACAAAACTTCAACCGAGAGGATGGTTTTAAATTAAGCAATCATTGGAAAGATGTCATCAACCAAGTAAAACTTTAGCTGCCTTATAATTGTACAGCCATTTCCATTTCTTCCAGTTGTTTTCTATTCCCAGCTTGATTAGCCCCTTTTTTAACCAAGTTAAACCAAGTTAAACTTTAGCAGCCTTACGGTTTACTGTAGTATACTGCAAGGCAACCAGTTTGTCAGCTTAAATACTGCCTACGTTTTACAACCGTGTTCATGTGTGTAATTTTTTCAACCACGGCACGCTTCTCTCCGCCCATCCGCTCATCCGTCCTCCTAATCCCTGCAGCATAACAAAAGGCGGATTAACTTAGTCCCCCCCCCCCCACGACCCATCCTGGCCCCCCCCCCCCCCCCCTTAACCTATATATAAGATCTACACAAGGGCCCCAGGTGGGGGCTTGGGGTGGTCATGTGTCAGGGTGAGATCCTACGGGAAGGGTCGACAAGAGGTTTCTCGAAGGTGGTCATGGCCAAGGGCGGGGCCAGCCACGACCCTGCAGCATATACACCGGGGTCCGCACAGGGACCGGGGTTCAGCGTTGCTGTCGTCATCTGAAGATCTACGATCTACATCCTACGTCCAAGAAGAAGTCACCAACATGTGGACCAGGACCCAAGCCAGGGTCCTGTCCGTTGTAGCTACTCCCAGTAATGAACGTAGTTAGCCTGGTGGTCCACCACCATAGGTTATCTGGTAAAGGGGCAGTGACCCCTTTGTGTTAATGTGTTGGTGTTATCTTCTTGGTTCTTTCGGTAAAGGCAACTAGAAGGGAAATAATACAATAATAAAAATAAAACATAATAAAATACAATTCTCATGATGTTTCGACCACAACGCAAGCAGCCGTCCTCAGGTGTTGGTGTTACTAAATGTGTTGCCTCCAAGAAGTACGTCTGCGACTCAGTTGAATCCACTACACTAGCACCACGGCTGACAGAAAGGCCTTCAACCAGTGGAAGCTCTAGACAGCTCCTCTAGAGAGTATTTGTCCTACTCTTCCATACTGGCCAACCATTTATGTCGAGCTCGATGAACCCTCAATTTACACTACTACACTCGACCTGCCAATAGACCAACGGTGTGGTGCACCCTTTTATACTCCAAGGTGAACAGAGGCAGTGGATTTAAAAAATCTTGCCCGTTGCTTCAATTGCCAGTCCAGGAGAACGATATGGCAACCCTGTGGAGTGCAAGTCCGTTGTGCTTAACCATTACACCACGGGCTGCATTTCCACAGTATGATCTAATGGGAAAAGATATATAAACAATTATATTTGACAAGAACACTGGAACATAATTACCTGATCTTACGAATGTGACCTAAGTTGTGAGCAACACCTTTATTTTAGGCAGCGTTGGCTCTTAACGTACATCTTTCTCCCCCATGAGAGAGCTTCAACAAGAATGTTCCCAAGAAAGTTGTGACGCACACTCCGGTACTGGGCTTCCACAACCCGAGGCTACACACGAGGACACTTGTCCTCAGGTAGGCTTATGTGGACGTGACAGTAACGGAATGAACCACTGCACGTGGATGTTGCATGAAAAAACATGGGCAGGACATGAGCATTCGAAGGGGCTGTCTTATGTAGCACATATAAATAGTATTATAACTTAATAAACGTACAGCTCTTCGACTTGTTTTCGGATCATACCGCCTATTCACCACAACGTTTTGCACCATGTGCTGAGGGCTTCTAATTTCGGTTCCCCAAGAAGCCCCCAGCACGCCGAGCAAAACGTCGGACATCCCATCGAACAACACGCGAGTATGACCCGAAAAAACAGTATTTCTGCACATCACAACCGCGAAAACCTTTAAGCGTAGTGTTGGTCGCAATTTGCGTTCTACAGCGCACCTTAAGATCTATGCCGACACACAGAGGTTGCTTTTTCAGTTACTATACGTCTCCCCACCTGTGTGTATTGAAGGAATATATTTATTGATAACCGAGAAAATGGCCACCCCCCCCCCCCGCACCAAAGTCATAGTTTTATTTCGCCGAGGTCAAAAGTAAGTTTTTTTTATACCGTAGAAGGTCCCTTGTTTCTTCTAATCAGAATGATCCCTCGCCCAACTGTACGATGAAAACAAATCATGTTAGTGCTGTGACTGACAAACTCACTCGCAGAAAGAAGAGTGAAGTTATTCTCATGCTAGAAAAATATCACGGGCATGTTGGCATTGCTTTGCTGTGGGAGTTCATTTCTCCAAGACTTGCTGACATCGCGACATGGTCTGTTTGACGGTCCGGTATTGGTCTGTATATTGATCATCACACAAAAAAACCTTCATCGCTATTTTAAAAACCGCAGTCAGCTGCAAAACGTAGGCATAATCAACAAATTGTTAATGGTCACTGTGGTCGATGTAGTCTATGTTTTTTTGTAAGTGCATAAATGCTGATATGGCCTGAGGGTAGGACACAATGAGCTGAGCTGGACATCGTGTAATTTTCTGCTAACAAAATGCCACCTTTGACTTCATGCCGGCTCTTGCACTGCGGCATTAATAGGTGCGTTTATTACGCAGTGTTTTTTCCAGAGTTTTCCTGAGAGTTGTTTCGAGGCGGCAGGCTTCCTGATTAGAAAATGCTTCGGTGGAGAACAGAAAAGCTCTTGTCGCAACCAGCATTTGGTGTGCGCACTTGCAGTGACAATCTGAAACATAGGCACTGTTCATCTGAATTTATTAACCCACAATTTGAGGCTCGCACACATCAACGCAGATTGCCTGTGGATTATGTTTAATTGTAATCTTTAATTGGCTCTGCAACGTCTATGATAAATTAACCGATAATAATAGACCTCCGTTCGTCTCTCCGCATACAACAGCAAGTGTTTTAGTGCGCCGGGTGGTTGTTAAATTGTAATTCTGTTTTATGATTGTTTGAATTTAGGTTATTAATTTTTAAAAAAGTAATTAATACTGGGGTAGAGTCGGTTCTATTTTGTGTAGTTAATATTTTTTGCATGGTTAATAACATCTCTCCAATGATTACTCAGTTTGTACCCATCATCACGGTTGAAATTATGTCTGTGTTTGTAAATCTGGATGGCTTCGTGTACAAACCTTTGATGGTAGCCAGAGGGTTTAGCCCCGCCCCCCCTCCCAATACGTTCCATTCATTGGCTACCACATTCAGAAAAGCCCCTCCCTCCCTCCTCCCCCCTTAACTTGTATTTAAGAACTTGTATCTTGGAATCTCTGCCTCACTTGATACAGCAAATCTAGCTGTGACGGTCCCACCTGATGACGGAGACTTGTGTTGCCTCTGAAACGTCGTTATTTATTATTTTACTTCTATTATTACTTTTACTAATTTATTTATTTTATTTTTTACCTACGTGACTTTACCGAAACAACCTAAGAGTATCGATATATACACATGAAAAACTATACACAAACGTTTCAAACATAATTCTCACATGTGTAATTTGATTTCTATTGCTGTACTTTGTTTTCTTTGTTTTGCTTTGATCATTTTGATAACCTCGGTCACTCTTGCAAATGCAACTCATCCTGGTCTCTTGAGTTCTCACTTAGTTACAAAAATGTAATTGAAACTTGACATCTAAAACAATGGGAGGTTTAGAATCGAATTGCCACTGCTGCTGTGATTGGCCAGGAATGCAACTTATCAGGCGTGCAATGAGTCATTAAATCATTCACCGATTAAAATCGATTCCTGCAACTCACAATACATGCTTGAAATTGTACGTGTGGAAATTTATCGTTGAAATAACACCCCGTCTGCTTCACAGCGGACATGAAAGATGATGCGACGTTATTCAAAAAGAGTTGGCCATGCGTAA